CATTTTGAGGTTATGTTTTTGTCTATAAACCTGATTTATGGGGGGAGAGAGTTGGGGGAGGGAAGCACCACGTAGCGCAGTCGAGGGGAGCTCGGTATGAATAAAAACTCTTCTAACCTAGCCTGTCCGAGTCGGGGTGCCCTAAGTCCCGAGCTCACTTCGCTCGCTCTTGCGCTCAACAAAACACCAACATATTAGCTTTTATAATTACTTCAAATTATGAACATAATACATAATATATTAATATAATAAGCACACTACGACTCACACAGGTGCCTGTGATATGCTAAGACGGGCGGAGGCTGCTCTCCCTCCGCGCCTACGACTTTACAAAAATACTCTAGGAGTAGGGCAGAGAAGATTATGTGGATTCGGAGCGTGCTGATTTAATTTTAGTACAGATTCGATCAGATCTATAAAGTCAGGTTGCCTTTGCTCCCGCCACAACCATCTAACCTATTAAAACTGAAAGTACTGCTGGGTGTTTTAGTATTAAATTAATTAGCTGCGCAGACACTTTTAAACAATTCAGAAATAAAACACAGTATTTTATAATCATTTCTTTTTTTGTTTGTAAACATAATTTATTATTTTTATTCATTCCTCAAAAGGATCTCTTTTATTCTTTATAATTTCTCTTCTCCATAAACGTTCATATATTAAGTCGGTAAAATTTTCTTTATTATTATAGTTGTCTTTACCACAATATCTTTTGACGATACGCCACCGAGACTCAATTCTTTGAGTGTGGGTGCCGTCTGCTGGCACAAAAGGGTTGTCAGGTTCACTATGATTTACTTATTTGTGTATGTACTCATAATTTTCTAACCCATCATAAGCCCGCCAAAAATCAGTATGGATGATGGTGCATTCAGCCTCATGTTTTGAATCAAGGGCGTTAAAACTTCAGATCGCACATTTTGGGGTCAAACTTCTAATCTTAAATCTTCATGTCATTTTCAATCATGCCCAGCACTCAATGACTTTCAATGTGCCGACCTAAAACAAGATTAAGTATTAGTTTAAAATTTCACTGATAAAAATTAGCCTATTTCATCTCCAGGTCGTTAACTATATGCATGCATTTAGTCATAACTCACCTTTATTATATTTCCTTTTTCCAAATTTACGTTCATTAATTTGGACAATTTTTCCTAGACCGCCAATTTTTCCCGGGAAACTTTGTTTCTCTATTTCATAAATGACTACAGCCTCCCGACAGTAATTAAAACAATTATTGACAGTTGCTCTAGATAAAAAATGTTACCTTTCAGAATAATCTTCTTTTAAAGACATATCATAACTCCACTTATTTGCATATATGCATACACGTTAAGTAAAATACTTGAGGCATTGTTAATTTGATATTCTTAAACCAAGTGCATTTGCCACCGTTAACTTTTGATTTAGATCTGCATTGGCCTCGGTTGAGACAGATGAGCCCACCGTACTATTGGTGGATTATTCTACACACATACTTTTTTTGTGGTAGCTACATATTTTTGTTGCTGGGATCATGCCTTTTTCCTCAGCAAAAGCAATATCTTGTTCCCGTGTGCCAAGTTTTCGGTAGACAGTCACTAAATTCCACATTGCTTTCATCTACTCGATATATAAATGGCGTTTCACTGGCGGTTCGCCACTGTTAAAATCGCGACTCGTAGATGGCTAAGGTTCCTCCGAATCAGATTTCAATGATATACGCCACATACTACACGACTTACCTGCTTTTTTCAAGCCATCGAAAGCCAAATGCGCGCACAGGTCAATCGAGTAGGCACAAAATCGGTGTCCGTAGTAAAAAAGTAGATAAGTCGTCGTGTAGGCAAACAATCGGTATGCAAAAAAAGAGAGAAAAGTGGTCGTCGATAAAAGCTACAATAATACACTAGAGAGCACACATTCACGCAAGAAGAACAATTTATTTAATATTGTAGTCTTTGAGAGCAACCAAAACCAAGGGAGGGCGGTGGCGGAATACAATAAACATAAAAATTACTATGTCATGCAATTTGACACTTGACAGAGAGTATAGATAACAGAATAATGTGACACTAGTCTTACTTTCTTGTCACACGCACACAAAATTCTGTATGCTATCCAGCTTTCACAGTAATATCGTATAATTTTTTCTCAAGGGCTAGAACCCAGAACCGTAAAGTCAGTATATATTAATAAAAATGTATCATTTTCCATACTTTACGCATATGAGGTAGGTAGGTACTAGTTTTTATTTATTTTTTTCGAAAACGGTGCATTACCTTTTAATGGGAGTGGTATTATTATAATCGGGGACCAAACCTTTACCAAATAAAACACCTGACTCCCCCAAACTCCTGCCCAACAATTCTAAATCCAACCCTAAGCAAGTCCTATAAAGCCTTTGGATAAAACCCTACAGCCCACTTTCCACTATAAGATATAATATAATTTATATTACATCTCGAGATATAAATTAATATCGCTCACCATACTTTTAAATGGAACCGTTTCCACTGAGATGTAATATATATAACATCCCAAACTATAAATATTTCTTCGATCGACCGAGCGATATTTTCATATTATATTTCATCTCCTGTACTCCGCACACCCTTCGCAGATCGTCCAACGACGAACGCACACTGGTTAAAAAAATATATCTCACAGTGTGAAGGGCAATCGCGGGATATAATTTATATCTCGGGATATATTATATATTACATCCCATAGAACAGCCATCTTAATTGTTGCTTCATCCATTGTATGGAGTGTAAAAGTAAGGAGTACCAACTTCCATAGTAGAGCAGTTGAAAAAGTGGCCATCTGTACGCGATAAATAACAGTTCAAAAACTCTCCACAACAGCGCTAGAGTAGCTACTGGGATGAAATGAATTTAGCAGTTGTCGACGATTTAAGTGTGCTGCTAAACTGCTCAGTAGCTCTAAAATCCAAAATAATTCTTTTTAGAGATATAAACCTTCTTGTAATAAAAATTACAAGAAGGTTTATATCTAAGTGTCGTATAAATTAAATGTTGCCACGGCATGCAATGTGGACAACGAATTATGTTTTTTAAAACTTACAACTATAAACTTAAAACTAGGTCCATATGCTAGTTAAAAGTAAAGGACTGCATAATTTTTCGTTTGAATTTTTGAGGCTTATAAAAATATCAACGTCACATGTCTTGCAGAGCTGGTTATATTGCCTCCTGTAACCTGTTTATGGTGGTGGTATTTAATAAATATAACCTCGAAAAGTCGTCTATCTACATATTTTCGGTGCGTTCTTTAAAATTTGCCCCGTAATTATAGTGGCGCAACCCTTATTTAACGGTTTTCTATGGACACTTTTTAATACACAGTCTGTACTCCTTACTTCTACTCTCCGTAATCCATTTGACAGATTATAGAACGCGATTAATCTATGATCTGTGTTTGTCAATTGTCAGTGGTTGCATTTGGTTCTGGCATTGATTCGGATGTTTGACATTTGATTTGATCGTTAATTTTTGATATATTTCTATGTATTTGTTTTTGCATTCGTTATATTTACTAATTTCGCGTTTATTTAATGTTTCCATGCAGACATTATAATCAAACGTTAAAACTTTCTTTAATTCACTGGATGATGTGTCTATGGATTTGTTTATGTCATGTAGATCGGAGCGTTTTTGTTAGATTCGTAGGTTAGATTACCGTACGTAACAACTTTTTACTGCATGATCTTAGCTATGGAGTATAGAGGTAAGGAGGACAATCTCCCATAGGAGAATAGTTGAGAATGTGTCCATCTGTAAGCAGTAAATAACAGTTCAAAAACTCTCCACAACAGCGCTCGAGTAGCTAAAGGGTATGATAAATCGGCGTAAAATAGGTTGAGCATACAATTTCATCCTCATAGCTGTAGCCACGCTCTTCTTTAATTTTGTCCAATATTCCAATTAATGTTTTATCGAAAAAATTTAGTACGTTTGGGCTAAGATTAATAATAGTTAAATAGAGCTTATAAATGAAACTCAATAATATAATTAATATACTTATAATGTAATTTAATAGAAAAAAATGAAATAAACTCAATCATATGTTTTAAAAATCAAATCGTCAATTTGACTTAAAATGTCTCTTCGTTTCGAATTTTGGCATTTTCTTCCGCGATTCCAATTTGGCTTTTATGGCCCCCAATCGTAATGAATCCTTACATTGAGAAATGGCCGCTTCTGTCGTCGACTTCACAGCTCGCTCAGCAGTCCGGGTATGACATGGAGGACGTAAAAAAAAAGCTTACCCTCACCACCAGATTGGATTATTTTCTGAATTTCTTGGTCACTTAAGTGGTCACTTCAACGGCGATTCAGTAATGGTGTGTTGTCAATTTATCATATCAATGTAGGTTGTTGCGCTGAAATTAAAATCAGGCATCTCGAATAGCCTTGGAGCAGGGGATTGTGAAAAACGATGGTTAAAATACGTATTTATATCGTATTTAATACGTAAAATTGATACGATTTTGTATACTAAATGTTTGCGCATGTGACCTATTAGTGGAAACGATGCGAACAAACAAGTAGTGTTACGATGGTAATGTGAACCTCAGTTTAATGTGTCTGCTTAGGCGCCTTGACATATGCATATAGGTCGTTATCGACTGTCTGTTAACTCAAATTACCGTCAAAATCTCCCAAAACTTCGAAATGTATCGCATCAGCATTTTGTGAAAAAGTTTTTACATAAATATATATAATTTCTTATTATATGACACTGGCAAAAGTACAACAGTACGAGTCCATTCAAAGAAAAAGAATCTATGGCGAATTTTATCTATGACAGCCATTTTGTCTTGGATTTGTCTTCTATTTTATCGTACTTTTACAAAATAATTTGTTGATAGGAAGAATTTTATAATTTTCTATTTTATAAATTTCTAATTCAAAATTATTTTTGGTATTGTTTTCTACGTCTAAGTATGGGTAAACCATCGTCGACTCATCTACCTGTTAGTTAATATTTAAATTGAGTTTCCAAAACATCACTTGTTGACAAGGGAGTATGTTGAAAATTTGATTTACAGCATGATTTAGTCATCGCACAAATATGCTGGGTTACTGGACCTTGAAGTGTTCATAATGCTTTACTAAAATGTTTTTTTTTTTGCTTTTTATTCAATGTTTACACTTTACAATAATATTTTTACCTTGTATATAGTATAATGGCGCACTATATTTTCAAAGGTCAATTTTTTCAGCGTATTTTTTCAAAGGTTACATGTACTATTTTACCTTTTTAATCATAGATTCACTATTAAATTTTTGTTATATAACCATAAGGTTGACTCTAAAACAGCTTATCTTTTTACTAAACTATTTATATGCGAATAGCATTTAATACAGTGAGGTATACAAATGGGTCGTCGACATATTTACAGTCGACAAAACGAGACTGTTTATCGTCAACGATAAACTAGTTTACTAAAACAGTTTTCTTTTCAACTAGTTTATGCCATGGACAAACGAAAATGATTCATGAATAATTTACTTCAATATAAACTACTTGTCGTTCTACGTTGATTCGCTAATTGATAAACGACGACTAGAATAAACTGTTGTTTATTATTAGAGACTGCCAGGCTAGTTATACATAATCGTATAATCAGAATAAAATTGGCGGTGGATGACTTAATACATCTTTACATTCATTACACATTGCTTTTAAAGTTTTATTGTCTTTTTCAAAATGGTGCCATATCACACTATTGCTTTTACAGGCCGTTACGCTGACATAATTCATATTCGCACTATTTGACCACTTAAATAACATTATTACTATTTAAACTATTTACTATTAGTGCTAGAACTTAATACTATGAATAATTATTTACATTTTAGTTAATCTCTTCAATAAGAAAAGTACTAAGTAGGTTTAACATTGCGCTTTGCGTTTATTCTATAAAAAATATTTTTTTATCGAATAAGGGTGACAAACGAGCACATAGTCCACCTGAAGGTTAGTGCATGCTGTGGCCCATAGACATATAATTTATTCTCGATTAAGAATCAAAAAATAGATGCATTGGCACCCCTGAGGACTATGGTGGTTTGGCTCGTTTCCAGAAAAAAGATTACCACTTATAAAAACAAAATTCAAAAATCTGCCTATGCTTTATATTGACATGTATATTTCATATCTATCTGCATTGTAATAGAGCTTATTTTAACAAAACACTGACCGCTCAATGGTTTGAAAGTCGAGCATGTAGAAAAAGAGTAGTCGAAGAAACAAGCAGGTGTGAAGAGAATGGAATGCTTGATCGACGAGTGTCCGGCGAAACAGTTTCGGAAAACGCTCGACGGTGTATGTGTACTGTGCTATGCAAAATATCGTTCACGAGTAAACTAGTTTATCTGTAGACCATAAACCGGTCTAACAGTCGACGTCAAATAAACTGTCGAAAAAAACTGTCCGTTCATTCAACATCCACCCCTAGTACAGTAGCAGTATACCCACAGCTGTGTTTCAATTTGCAGACATTTAGAGATATCAGAAACAGAACTTTATATTGTCTAACAATTAAACATCTTATATTAGCTGATAATGAGCTCAGTAATATAGCCATAAATAATACAAAAGAACTGTTGCTATTGTACTTACATAGTTGTTTTTAAGTTTTGTTATTTAATTCCTTGCTTTTCTTTGTGATTACATTGAATATTTTTTGGCCAGCACCTTTTATATAAATTTGGTGCTAGTCTAGCCATGGACTATCCACAGTGTGATGTGGAGGAGTAGGCTTTTTATTTTTCTCAACAAAATTAATACTGTTATTTCACAATGAATGAAATTTTTCTAAAATTCTTCATAATAATTAATTAACTTTATTTGGCTTAACATTCTTTATTGTATTTCAGAAAGAGGATTCAAATTCAAAACATAGAATGAATGCCCAGAAATTAAGTATAAAAAAGAAGAAATATAAAAGGAAAACACTGAACAGTGTTCAGAAAGTATTAGATCAGTTAAAAAATGAAAATATTTCTGGAAACAACTCGATTAGCAGCATAAGTTCAGGACATATATCAGTTATAGATTTAGATGCTACGATAAATTCACCAATTAAGAGTAATCCAAATGTAAATCAACAAAATAATAATTCAGTAGTGATATGTGATGATGATGAACTCATAACAAACACAAGGCCTTGTGGAACAATTAATTCACAATTAAAATCCCCAATCCACTGCTCAACACCACTTAGAAAAACAAGCATTTTTAAGGAATCACTCGGCAACAATCTGAATAATAGCAATTGCTCAACCACTCAAAATCTTAACAATCAAATTGTCAACTTAACAAAGGAAATAAATAGAGATTCTTATGTAACAATAGACTTAACAGAAGATAGTAACATGCTTACAAGTTGTAGCAAAAACAATAACACTGTAATAGATTTAGTAAATACATCAGAGGGTAAAGACTTAATGTTAACATCTGTAAGCAACACAAGCCTGTCCGTAAGCGGAGATTCAGATGTTACAGTACTTAATGTTGGACATGGTAAAAATCAACCGAGCAAACAAATGCGTAAATTTGCCAAAGGAATATCAAAATTAGATTCTATAGAAAAAGGAAAGCTGCTCAAGTTGATAACAGAAACCGTGTTTACCGGTTGCAATATTAATAATAATCGAAGTAAAATTAGCCTTGGAGTCAAGGTAAGATCATGTTCAGTATTGCTGTTATTTTGTTTTATTAATTCTAATAGAGCATATTCAGTTTTACGACCCATTACAAGTATGCTGAAAATAGAATAAGCATCCATTAATTACCTGTAGTCACTTAACTGACCCCTTTCCTTACGAAATGCACCTTGAAAATCAATTTATTATTATTTTGCCAAGTACTTCCTCATTGTTATTCATTCATTCCTATGTTTGTAACCAATTTAAAAAAATAATCTTGTTGTTTTCTATTTGCTGCATTAATATTCAAAATTAAAGTTTATTGACTATTCCTTTGTTTCCTAATTTATCTATAGTATGTGCCATATCGATTGAGAAAAGCAGACAATGACCTCAAATATGAGCTGAGTGTCTAAGGGTGTAACTTATAAATTCATTGTTTCAATTTAGATGTAATAACAATATTTAAATATTGATGTTATTCACACTTCTAGGTCAGCACATATGTTTTGTTTTTTGTTTCTTAAATATTATTGTCTGTGGTTCCTATAAACATTGTAAAATCATACAGTACATCTCAAAAAATGTGATATATTTTATATTTCAAGTTATGGTAAGTAACGCAGATTCATTTAATAACAGTTTCATATTAAAAAAAATATTTGAAGCAATATAATCACCATATTGAGCTTTTGCAAATTCATCCCTTTAAAATTCCTTCAAAACGCGCGTTACGTCAGTTCGTTCTAAAAAAAAAGGTGACAATGGCAGCCAGAGATGCCTCACTTTTTTTGGGCCGGTCCGCATGCACCGAATAAAAATAAAGTTCTTATATAATATTGAAAATAAAATTTTATCTTTTTAACAAATACATGTATATGTGTTATAAATTAATGCTTTTTGTTGTTAAATGAATAAAGTACTTTATAACAACAGATGATTTTTCTTCTACAGCGATCTTTTACATAACTTTTTAATAATAGTTAATAAATATATATTATATCATTACAAAAATAATAATAAAACATAATTATAAATAAAGAAAGTACTACATATAAAAAGTGCCTATATATTGATGGTTTGTGGCCCCTGGTTAAACGACCGAAAGATCAATATCCGTTTTTCTCAATCGATTTGGCATATACTATAGTGTAGTTAGTTCTTGGACAGAGATTAATTTGGTGTTGGAACACAAAATTATAATTTTCTCAGGGTAAAACATTATATAAATATAAAATCTTATTTGCGAAGCTGATCACATTCACGTCCAAGCTTTGTAATAAAGTTAAAGTTACACCCTATATACGTCCCACTGCTGGGCACAGATCTCCCATTTCTGAGAGGGTTTTAGGTCAAGAAAATGTCTGCCGGACTGCATGTTGGCGAACTTCACATGTCTTTGAATTTTTTTTTATTTCTTAGATAATCCATCTTTTCCTTCATCTCTGAGCATGTGGTAAGTCAGCACTTAAAATTGCATTAACAATTTCATTGGTGCCGGCGGGGATTGAACCCATGTTGCTTGTATTCTGTGAAATTCTCAGCGAGAACTTAGCCCCTGAGCTACCACAGCACGGCATAAGCTGTAATGATTGTTATTAATATGAACTATTTCATCTAAATAGGAACAAAACAATATTGCAACTGAAACTGTAGAAGATACTTATATAAAAGAAGTGATACTCGGACAAGTGAATTCAAGAAATAGTATTGGAAGCAACATATATAACCCAGAAAGGGACATTAAAAACCAGACTGGTCTTCGAATGGTGGTTATTGATGGAAGTAATGTAGCTATGCAGTAAGTGTATTTGTTACTTTGTTTACTTATAAAATAAATAATAAAAAACTTTGTTAATAATTTTTTTTAATAATTACTTTGTTAATTATAAAATATTCTTAGCTTAGTTTGAGATACCAGCAATATTTCACAGTCATGATATAATAATAATAATAAAAATATTTTGTTCGGTAAATGATCATACATAAGTTATAACCGGGGATGGGGTCTCCTTTAACCTTTAACTGCCCGACCGGACACGAACCCCCGACGTGGCGACTGAGAGACGTCAAACTTTAGGTACTGAAATAAAATGTGTATTTGCGTGCTACATTTTTCTATTTTATACATTAAAAAGATTGGTGTTTGAGGTAACAAACTACAGAATTAAAAAAAATACACGCTATTTTTCAGGCAAAATCAACATTTATTCGAGAGATCACAATTATTTGGCACAAAATTTTAAGGACTTACTTCAGTCTCGTTTTTCTCTAAAATTAAGTAATTAACAACAAATGAACTTAAAATATGTTATCTTCTATAAACTATTATCAAATTAAAACATAAATCTTACTTCTTAGTTAAAAAATAAAAATAATGACAGCCCTCGAATATTTGGTACATTCACTATGTACGTTTGCAGTCAATGCATATTTGTAGGCAGAATTTGTTTTATTTTGGATTACTGATGTATAAAACAATAGCCCAATTAAAGCCTATTTCTGTCTCATTCGTTGAGCCTAGTTCAGATCTGCTACTGTCTTTATACTTAGCCCTATAGCTATTTAGTTTCTTGTTTGTATAAGTTACTATCATTTCAATCATGTGATCACTAAACATCAGTTTCCATAATTCCGTGAAAAATCCAAAGTCAACACAATAACATTCACGCGAAAATGGCGTACGAAATGAATGTAGATTATAAATAAATATCCATAGCATATTGATTAAAACTACTTTTACGGATTTTATCGCGTTTTATTTATATTAATTTTAATACTCGACGTTTCGGGGGACCCCCGTCCCCGTGACCATGGGTGCTGGAAAGCAGTGTTAATCTATGTATAGTGTTCGCGTAAATATAAGAAATCATTATCCATAGCATAACTATTTTTTATTGCACTAGAGGATAGAAAATTTCATATTGATTCTATAATGCCAAACTTCTTCATAGAAAAGTAGTCTCTAAATATAAGTGTTAATGGCTTAAAGTGCTGTGGGTGTGCGCGGTCGAATTCGACCGCTTGAATTTTGACGGAATAGCGCCGCGGTCGAATTCGACCGCTTAGGGAATGAAGGGTTAATAGGGATTATTAACATTGAAAAGACCTGGTGGTTGGTGAAATAAATAATAACATACAATCCATCTTCTATGAAATTTTTCATATATTGAATTTTAATATCTTCTAGGCACAGAATGGGCAGAGAATTTTCAGTCAAAGGTCTAAAAATATGCATAGATTATTTCCTTAGACGGGGACATGTAGTGAAAGCTTTTGTACCAAGATTCAGGTGAGTGTGACCATTCTTTTTTAATTTCATTTTGCATAATTAGTGCATTTGGATTACTTTTTTAATACACAAAAATAAACACATTTTTATACAAATATAAAGACTACAAGCTCTGTAACCACTAAAAAGATAGAAGAATAGCAGATTCAATCTCACAATTCATCCATATTTTTAACCAATAGACTACTGTCACTTTAAATAATAAAAATGGTAATTAAGTAATAGAAAAGAATAAGTTTTGTGACTAATTACTCTTGATTAAAACTACTTTTACGGATTTTATCGCGTTTATTTTTGCTTTTAATTACTTTTATTTTTAATTCCCGACGTTTCGGGCGCTTTCCAGCACCCATGGTCACGGGGGACTGAGATGACTGACGTCCCCAATGTCATTGTAAACCCGGAGTACCTTCAGCTTTTTTAATTATAGTTTATGATCCGATCTATGCAAAATGAACTGACTATGTCTTGAGGTCTTGCAGTGGCATGCTTGGGTTTAGTTTTAATTTTATTGATTATAGGATCCCAAGCAGGTGGTAGTACCCAGCCTCCTTCTCTATTGAAATTAGGATGTTTTTTAATTTCAATAGCCTCACGTATCATCCTTGGTAGGAATCGGTGTTCTTTCGCGAGGATTTGTGGTCTATCAAATCTGATGTAATGGTTGGGGCCGTCCAGGATATGATCACAAACTACAGACTTCCCGGAACGTTGATGCTTCACATCAGCTATATGTTCTTTTACGCGGATTCTAATTGATCTTTTTGTTTGTCCTATAGCATTTTGCATAGATCGGACCATAAACTATAATTAAAAAAGCTGAAGGTACTCCGGGTTTAACAATGACATCGGGACGTCAGTCATCTCAGTCCCCCGTGACCATGGGTGCTGGAAAGCGCCCGAAACGTCGAGAATTAAAAATAAAAGTAATTAAAAGCAAAAATAAACGCGATAAAATCCGTAAAAGTAGTTTTAATCATGTGTAGTGTTCGCGTAAATATAAGAAATCATTACGAATTACTCTGCTTATACGGTCTTTATTGTATACTAGTGATCTGCCCCAGCTTTGCATGGTTGATTTCTGGATCTCGACAACCTACTTCAGCTAATTATGAAAGTAAGGCATACAGGAACCCACTCAAATAAACACAAAAAAATATATCAAAATCGGTATAGTCATTTATGAGTTCTGTGACACTAACACACAGAAATTGATTTTTATATAAGAAATTTTATTGTTTTTATCTAGCAGCCAATGAACCCTATATCCATATAAAATATGTATCTTGTGATAGTTATATCAGGCAACAGATGTCATAATGTGTTAACACAGTAAGAGTAAAGCAATCATTGAATAAGGACATGTTTCATAAACTATTTTCACCTACAAGCAAAAGTGTACCTTAGTAGCAAATTTTACATACTCATCATTATCATCATTACAGCCCTTCACAAGTTCACTGCTGAACATAGGCCTCCCCCAAGTAACGCCACAAAGCACGGTCCTGAGCCACCTGCATCCATCGACTTCCTGCATGTCTTACCAGGTCGTCACTCCATCTAGTGGGGGGTCGCCTACACTACGCCTACCGGTACGAGGCTGCCACTCGAGAACCTCCGGTTACCGGTTCTTCGAGCTATATGGCCGGCCACTTCAGCTTACTAATCCGACATTGTTTCGACGTTGTACATACCGAATTATATGAATTAATATTCATTAACTCATAGCCCCTTGTCTGTCCAAACGCCATATTCTGGCGTCTTAAATAATATGCGCATCTGTCAAACGCCATAATATGGCGTCGAGTGATAGAAAACTATTTGTAACATATATATGATATATATGTATAACATAATATATATATATTATATTAATAACATATATATCTGTTATGCAGAGCTTTTATTATATATATATATATATATACTTTAGTATACTTGTTATATATATTTACTTAGTACTTTGGAAAGTGCTCGACAGATGCGCCATATTGGGCAAAATGACCCCGACATTCGAGTGGCTAATTTTAATATAAAGTCTTCAAATAATAGTCTTTAATATAAACTACTTAGTAGCTCTTACTTAGTAGTAAATAGGCTGCACTAAAAGTATCGGGAATGTAATATTTCCACTATTCCTGTCATATTAAAATCTTTTTAAAACTCCTTGGTTTTAAAAATTGAATACCATTTATTTATTTAAAAAAAGATTCTTGGTCTTGTCACAAGGTTTTCTCAAACTTGTTTAGTCGTTGAGAAAATGGAATTGACTCGAGAAAATTCAAGAGCGATGATTTATTATGACTTTCGAAGTGGTTTAACACAAAAACAGTGTGTTGACCGGATGATTTCTGCATTTAGTGATGAAGCCCCATCCAAAACTACAACTTATCGCTGGTTTGCTGAATTTCAACGTGGACCTGTCAAGCTCAGTGATGATCCCGTCAAGGTCATCCAAAAACTGCAGTCACCCAAGAAAACGTTGATGCTGTGCGTAAGCTGATTGAGGAAGATCGACATGTGATATACCGCGAAATTGAGGCAACTTTAGACATTGGCATGTGTCAAATACAAATAATCTTGCATGAACAATTAGGTGTAAAAAAGTTGTTTTCCCGATGGATACCGAATTCGCTCTGTGAAGAGCAAAAAGCGGCTCGCGTTACTTGGTGCGTCAGAACTCTCGAAAGATTCCACGTAGGATCCTCAAATGCTGTATACAACATCGTATTAGGTGACGAATCCTGGATATACGCGTACGAACCCGAAACAAAAAACCAGTCACGAGTTTGGGTGTTCGAAAATGAGTTAAAGCCAACAAAAATTGTTCGTTCACGGAGTGTTGCAAAAAAAAATGGTGGCCACGTTTGTCTCCAAAACCGGCCATGTTACGACTATTCCTCTTGAGAGACAAAGAACGGTTAATGCAGAATGGTATGCTAGCATTTGTTTGCCGCAGGTCGTTTCTGAACTCCGTAAAGAGAACTCAGCCGCATCATTCTCCATCACGACAATGCGAGTTCTCACACCGCACACTGAACAAAAGAGTTTTTAGAGCAAGAAAACATCGAATTATTGGACCATCCGCCGTACAGCCCCGACCTAAGCCCTAATGATTTCTATGCTTTCCCAAAAATAAAGAATAAATTGCGTGGACAGAGATTTTCATCACCTCAAGAAACTGTGGACGCCTACAAAACGGCCGTTTTGGAGACCCCAACTTCTGAATGGAATGGTTGCTTCAATGATTGGTTCCATCGCTGTATGGAAAAATGTGTCAAATTTCGCGGAGAATACTTCGAGAAGCAATAAATACATTTTTAAATAGTAACGTTGTGTCACTTCCTTGATTCCCGAAATTTTCAGTGCCGCCCTCGTACTTAGTAAGTCTTCGAAATATTTTTTTTTCTCATTCCTCAGGCATGCAGGTTTCCTCACGATGTTTTCCTTCACCGCCGAGCACGTGGTAAATCAGTTGTTCGATTTCATTGGTGCCGGCGGGGATCGAATCTGGGTCACTCGCGTTCTGGTATATTTACGGCGAGCGTTAACCATCTGAGCTAGCACGGCTCTCATCAATATAGTCGAAGTCAATTAAATACGCATTATCAAGGATAACTAAAAATACTGGTCAGATCTTGATCTAATTTATGGGATCACATGAGAAGCATCAGCTTACAAATTAAAAAAATCATCTTAATCGGTTCACCTAGAAAAAAGTTCTGAGAAACATACATAAAAAAATACAGTCGAATTGAGTACCTTCCTTTTTTAAAGGCGGTTAAAAAAAGAAAATAGCATCAAGGACTTATAAAAGTCATATTGAATGCAAGTAATTGGATGCTGTGGCCCATAGACATCCACATTTATCCTCAATTAAGAATCAAAATGCAAATGCGTTGTCACCCCCGAGGACTAAGATAGAATGCCTCGATTCCAGTCAAAAGGGTCTCCGGTTCTCTACACTCACCATACGGAACACAGCAGCATTAAGCTGCTATTTTGCGCCCCGGTCAAACCGACTCAATCGTGCTACAACTTTACGATTGTAATTTATGATTGTAATTTACCAAATACCTTACTTCTTCTTTAGCAAAATGTTAAAGACCACTCTGAACATGGGTCTCTCCCAATGTAATGAGAATTTGCCTTGATCACCATGTTTAGTACATGCAAATTAGTGATCACAATACGAAAATTTGTTGTACCTTCAATGTTCAGTGTTGTCTATGTATCTGGTGTGGGGTATTTTACGTCTGATAAAACAAGATGGTTATATTATGACATCTATCGCATGTCATAACATGGCTCTTACGTAACTCACGGGGCGAAATGGAATCAAATTCTCTTACGCCTACACTACTAGTTCCTCGCTTAGTAAGACTCCTTTTAACTTTGTATATTTACGCACACATATATTATAAACACCTGCTGTCACTCAGAGTATCCAGAGATTACGGACTTACATTTGGTATGATCCCGAAACCCGTATGCAGTATGCACTATACATGCCCGTACGTTTGTTTATTTCAGGTGTAAATTTGGAAAGAGCACGGAACCAAGACTGTTGGATAAGTTGGAGCGCCAAGGCCTTGTAGTATATACGCCGTCTAGGGAGATCCAGGGCAAAATGGTCACTTCTTATGATGACAGGTGAATATAAAACCTTTTGCACGCCTCAACGCGAAGTGTTTGAGGTAGTGCTTTACTTCCGACACGTCAATGTCAAGCATTTTTGTGGTCTGAAACTGCCTCTTTCATAACCAAATTGCGCTTATACGATATAATGACTAGCCGTATATCAAGAAAACATTAATCGATCCGTCTTATATTTTCTAAAAAATCATTTTATGTTTCTAGATACTTAAAAAACGTTTTGGAATTTTTTTTACGTTTAGGTCCGGATGTCTTGGTAATTACGATAACTCCAGAAAATTGACGTATCGAGACGGTTTTTTTTAATTAGCTTTAACTGGTTCACTATTTCATTTCCATAGCCTAGTTTGTTAATTATATATAAAAAATAATTTTTTTAACAAACGCGTAGTTTTGAATAAAATATTATTTACGGATTTATTTTAATTACTTTAATTTTTTTTTTGATAATAATAGATTTATTAGTATTTAATAAAATGATTTTTATTTTTTTTTATACTTAAATGTACCTTCTACCTAATAATTTTCATTTGATTTTTTTAGCTTATGATATATAAAGGACAAATGTACCATACATCCTATATCGAAATTATACTTTGTGTAATCGATTTATTTTGGTAATTTATTTTTTTCATCAAAATTAAATGAAACGCTCATGTGGCGTGCACTTTTTGATTTTCTAAATTTACTTGTTAAATTGAAATGACAAACGATTTGTCGGTCAGTAAGTACATATTGTGGACTATCCACATATATTCTCGATTAAGAATCAAAATGCAGTTGCGTTGTTACCCTGGGGACTAAAGGTTGACTTACGCTAGACCGGTCGGGTCCGAGCCGAGTGTCGGCCGTAGCACGGTCACCGAGGCGGTCCGTGCCTGAAATTACAAACACGAGCCTCGACCGAGCAATTACTGTTGCGTCGTGATGCAGTATACTCGTCCGAGCAAAAATAGTGTTATAACTAGACTACAATCATGTTGAAGTTTCACGATCTGGAGTTAGCGGCTATTGCGATCGCTCTGGACGATGAGGAATCTGATAAATCTTCAACTACAAGCCGGGACCGAGTTGTTGCCGAGCGTTGTCCGTTACTCGGTCGTCACTCGGTTGCCGCTCGGTATAGCGTGAGTGTGTCCATACAAAATATATGTAACATTAGTTGACCGTGCTACGACCGACACTCGGCTCAGATCCGACACGATCTAGTGTGAGTCATACTTTAGATGATATGCCTCATTTCCAGTAAAAAGGGTCACCTTTATAATGTAAAAAAACATGAGAAAATTAAGTTCTTGAAATGTTGTCGATTTGTACGGTGAAGGCCACATATTATTTCACATATATTTTCGTAATTCTTTTGCGTTTTAACCTTTTGAGCGCCAGTCACATATACTTGACCAGCACTTGCGGGTCCTGTGCGCCAACGACGTCTATAGCCGACAAAATGACCACAGATTATTAAGTGTTTGACAGTAATAACTTACATGTGCTAAGACATACTCTGAGACATTGGTACATTGAAGACGTCACAAACGAAATAATTTATTCAAGCGACAATTATGAGCTTGACACTGGCAATATGAAAGTAAACAATATAATATGGTTTATTTTATTTTATTATTTTGTATTAGCTTTTTGCATTCCTTCTCCATATTAACTTGCGAGACCTGGTACTCCTAAGTACGTGTGGTATATATAGGTATACGCTTAAAAAGGGGCACCAAGTTTTCTCTTCACGTATTAATAATATAATATATATAGATAAAGAACACTTTATGTCGATCTTGTTCATTCGAACATTCCGCTTTCAATAAGAACATAACGCTTAACAATATGTTTAAAGAAGAAAAGATTTTTTACTTGTCGAAATAAGGTTCCATTTATATTGCGCAAATAAATTAGAGATTTAACAAGATTACTGGTATTTTAAATCTACATTCCTCAATATATAATATTCCAACAATATTGAGTTTAAAAATCAAGCCTCTAAGAGCCAGAAGCACTGAAAAATATAGAACTAAAAACACGGATTTTATCTAAGCAAATACTATGTCCAGCTTGCCAGTCGTCTCTAGTTGACCGCTACTGTTGTAATGCAGGAGGCATAAATTTCTTGAAAAACTAATCAAAATTTAACTTTACAATTATTTCCAAGTTTAAAAATACAATTTATAGTTGATTAGCTGTGATCTGTGTATTTTATAGTTGTATAAGTTAATATATATTCTAAATTAATTCTATTTAAAAGAAATGTCCTGCTGGGTTTCATGCTGGTTCTTTCCAGGACAGAGGTTTTCTCCGAACTAGTGATCGTAGTACTATATTGAATAAAAGAAATTCTACGCTATTCATTTAATATTTCCGACAACAGTATTTTAACATCACAAAAACGTACATCTTTATAGCCGCATTGTTTTCATCCTGTCTGACTTCCTACATTCTCATTGGCCACCATTGTAAATAATTAGTTATTCATTACACCTCGTTGACTGCCTCGTTGGTCTAGTGGTTGTAGTATTGCGACTGCTGATCATGAGGTCCTGGGTTCGAATCCCGGGTCAGGCCAAAAAATTTATTATTGAGTTTTTCCGTCAAGAAATTCTCAGAGTTAGTTGCCCGGAGTCAGGAAGTTGGCGGTGTCTCACCCCGTGCCTCGGACGGAAAGCACGTAAAGCCGTTGGTCCTGCGCCTGATCTCTCTCCGGTCGTGTCGGTCTACCGTTCCATCGGATTATGAGAGTGAGGGAATACAGAGTGCACCTGTGCTTGCGCATTCACTTGGACACTATAATCCTGTCCTGCGCCGATGGCGAGCCTCCGTTGAGGCAGGCCGCCGTGGCCGAAATTCTGTCTGGAGGACATTATTATTATTATGATTCATTACACCCTTTCAAAATCCCCTCCCCATGGGATGCTTCATAGGGAGGCTATTTACCACAGCTTCCGCGCTTGTCAAGTAGGTTGGCAACCGCAGCTCTTATTCTTCTTAGTTTTTATCAGCAAGATATTGTTGCAAATCAGTTTAATTACCCTCTGTGGCCTCATATTACGACCATATGGGCTTAACCGGTTGGTGTCCACAATTATACATAAAATAACAAACAAATCTATAATAATGTTACGAGCTTGGGGTTCGAGACAATCAAAACTGCCGATTGAATTACCATAATTGACACTAATTACAGAAACTAATTGCAACTTAAAACTAATAATAAAACACAATTGTACTACTGAAGTATTCGCTTATATTGCCAATTCAATACTGACCCGGGTCGTGGTCTATACAGGTTTATATAGGGCCTCAGATAGTTCCAATCGAATGTTCGAGTACATACCGGTCCCGACTGACTATGTGACGATAGTTCTAAAAGTTCTTCCATGGAAATTTCTGGAAGGACCTTGACTCCTTGTTCTGCTACTCGAAACTATATTCATATATAAAAAAAAACTGTCAATTTAATTGAAACGCGTTTTGTTTATTTTTATTTTTTATTTTTTTATCCACAGATACATCGTGCAGTGTGCCGCTGAGTTTGATGGAGTCATAGTTTCGGGCGATAATTACAGGGACTTGTTACTCGAGAATCCAAGATGGCGTTTTGTTATAGAAAACCGTTTGTTGCAGTTCACATGGGTGGGAGATATGATTATGTTCCCCAAGGATCCTTTAGGGAGAAGTGGACCGACACTGGATCAGTTTTTAAGGCATACATAAATACCTAAAATACTTAATTTTCCTGTTCAAGTAAGCTATATTAGCTACTATCATAGTGTCTGTTTATTTTCAAAAATAAAAATAAATTATTTAGTTATATTGCTCTAGAAAATTAACAGCCATTGAATATTAAAACTGTTTTATATTAAATTCATCTAAAAAAAATTAACAAAATTAAGAATAACTCAAATGTCAAAATATAATATCGGATCTACAGTGAATTTTTTACGCTTACGGAGTATAGTATGTGTAACTTTTGAATGCTTTTGAACCATTTTTTTAAATACTTTTGAACCAAAAAAAATTTAGTTATATAAAAACTTATGATACTTTGAATATAACATTTTTGTTAGAAAACTGTTATAAACGGTTCAGTATCGGTAATGTTTATATTATAATATAACAGTACCAAGGTCAGGTCTTAGAAAATATCAATGTTCACAAGTGAACATTGTTCATATTCTGTGCTGTATAAAGCTAAAATTAGAACTGGCAATAATTGTGAATCAAGTGAAAATGTACATGAAAACATTGTATCCATAAATATGTATCACGTATCATAATATTTCCTTTGCCCATAAGAAAACAATAATTCATAATTATTGGAAATCCAGATAAAATGACTACAATTCCTAGCCTTAAATTAATTATCACATTATCTATGGTTACCAAAATCTATGGTAGATAACCAAAGAAATTAACATTCCCACTTACCTCCATATTTTTATACGATAAAAATGTTTGTTAATATTTGGTTGAATGTTCAACAACATGCCATATGCTCAAATACTCTAACGTTAATCAATTTTAAGAAGGCATTAAGGCAGGCCCGCACACTACATACGGAATTCCGAAACGGAACGAACTAGTTGGCCACACATACTGAACCTCGTTTTGCCCGCAAAATTCCGTACGGAAAACTACCGTAGGTGTGACGGGTCATTGATTTTATATGGACTTGCTGCGTTCATAATCCCGATTCGGAATTACGAAACGGAATCCCGAAACAATTCCGTAAGTATGTGGCATACCTAAGTCTCGTGCTGATTCTATCACTTTCACGCAAGCACAAGATTATTATTCTAAAATACTCTAAAAATAAATTCTCGAATGTTTTAATTTTTAGCATCATATTAAAATAAAAAACTAAATGTCTATCAAGGATAAAGCTCGTGTGAAGAGCGCGATTATATGAATGAATTTGTACTTTTAGTGATAATTATTTTAAATTTTTTGTTAACATTTGGCATTAACATTGTTGGCCTTGGAAGGATATTTATTATGATGCTCAAAAATAGACTGAACGAACTTGTGACAAGATTCATTTTTGTGAAAAGCTTTTTGGAGGTTTCGGTTTATACATTATGATTTTTTTAAAGATTTCACAAATTAACAATAATTATATTCTTTAATATTTATTTTAATTGAAATTTTACTTTCAATTGATGTTCAGAGTAAAATTTAATTCGGAGATATGTTTATTTATAAAAGCGATATAAATTGTCGCACAAATTACTTTTTTCTAAGAACATTTACTTACCAGCGAGGCTTTCTCGTGACACTAACGTTCGCGTGGTTAGAGATTGCATTCCATCTTTAAATTTAGTTGGCTTTTTAATTGAATGTGTATTTTGCATTAAAATTAAAAGAAAATCTCATTTTTATTTCCATTGGTGTAAAAATGTAAACCTTTCGGTCTATAGGTATATGCCTACTTTCGATACAACTTCGTACATAAAGAAAATGTCTAAAGTTACTTACATCGATGTAGATATATTTATATTTCGTGCCAAATCGATTGAGAAAAACGGACATTGACCTTTCGGTCGTTTAACCAGTGGCTACAAACCTTCAATATATAGGCACTTTTTATATGTAGTACTTTCTTTATTTATAATGATTTTTTTATAATTATTTTTATAATGATATAATATATATTTATTAACTATTATTAAAAAGTTATGTAAAAGATCGCTGTAGAAGAAAATTCACCTATTGTTATAAAGTACTTTATTCATTTAACAACAAAAAGCATTAATTTATAACACATACACACGTATTTGTTCAAGAGATAAAACTTTATTTTCAATATTATATAAGAACTTTATTCGGTGCATGTGGACCGACCCAAAAAAAGTGACGCGTCGCTGGCTGCCATTGTCACGTTTCTTTTAGAACGAACTGACATACTACGCGTTTTGTTTATTTTAAAGGGATAAATTTGCAAAAGCTCAATATGGTGATTATATTGCTTCAAATATTTTTTTTAATATGAAACTGTTATTAAATGAATTGCTGCGTTACTTACCATAAATTGAAATATAAAATATAACACATTTTTCGCGATGTACCGTAAGATTTTACGATGTTTATAGGAACCACAGACAATATTGTTTAAGAAACAAAAAACAAAACGTATGTGCTGACCTAGAAGTGTGAATAATATCAATATTTAAATATTGTTATCACATCTAAATTGAGATTTTGTAAGTTGCGCTTTTTGACACTTGGCTCATATCTGAGGTGATCGTCCGTTTTTCTCAATCGATTTGGCACTAACTATATTCATGTATATTGTAAATAAAAAATCGCCCGAAATGGCATATTATGATTGTTTTATATAAAACAAATAAAAGAATTTAGTTGATTTTTTCTAATGGTTTTAATTTGTTAAGAGTGCATTGTGAACAACCCAATTTCATAACCTCGCATCAATAATTTTAAAGTATAGTTAGTACCTCAATTGAGGATGTTACCGTATTTAAATTTATATACAGTTCCGTCCAACGCAAAAAAATTCGTTAGGTAACACCGTCATTTACACTACTTTATACTTGTTTCTATTTGTTTCCTCGTGACGACTAAGCTAGGGTGTACCGGTTATTAAAAAAAAAAAACAGAAAAGCTAGTACTGGAATGCGGCGGCCCGAGATGAGAACAGTATTTCATGTGAGATCGGACTTGTGCCTTATAAAAGTTGCTAACATTTTAGAGGGCAATTTAATCTTCTCTTCCAAAAGATATCTGAACTGTACGTTCTTCTTAGAAACAGAAACTTTTTTTATTCAATATAGATTATAAATAATACTTATTGAAAGTCACTTTTTTCATTTACCATTGGTTCGCAAAAAAAAACCTCTGTCCTGGGAAGAACCAGCAACAAACCCAGCAGAACTATTTTATTTTTCCAATAATAGCTTACAATCATGTTTACAATTAACAACACAAGACAAATTAGAAATAGCTTGGCAGCGATCACCCTTCCCAGGGGTTATTATCATCCATAAATTCCTTAATATTATAATAACCCTTTTTATACAAACTTAGTTTAATAAAGTTTTTGAACTTTGTGTATGTCAAATGTGTATGTCTTACGCAACAAGGATTATCCCTTGAAAAAAAAGGAGATATGACATAGAATTTCTTTAAAGCGGTAAACATTGACGACGGGATATACATAGTAGTCGATCCCAATCAGAGACTTTGTTTAACAAAAATTCTAATAACTCTACTTCAGAAACAAACTTTTCGAGCACTGTTTCCGAGAAATGTACTCACGAACGGTGCTGATGCGTTGCTAATGCCGTAATCAGCTTATCAATAAATGTTACTAATTTGCAACAAAAATCTGTTATTACACAAAGAAAACTGAGTGGGCAAGAGCACGCAATCTTGTGGAACATTGGCATCCTTGTATTAGAGCATGCAGGACAGGAATCAATCAGGGCTTCGCCAGCCGAAGTAGTCGCTGCTTCTTTTCAGTGACAGGCTATATCGCAAACAACCAACGAACTCTATTACCCGATGCAGTAGAAATGTTTAGTTTTAGTTTACGACGAGCTGTTTACCGCAACTCGTGTGGGCAGGAATAATGTGATTATTCGAGCCATGAAATCTCCCCGAAGAAGTTCAACAGTCCTATGATGTTGCAAGCAACTTCGTGGAGCGATCTCGGCGTGCCGAGATGTTTAACCCTGTATGACGTTTCATACAGGGTTAAACATCTCCTCCCGGACATGTCAGCAACACATAGCCGCAGTTTCTTCCTCTTCCATGCATGCCCTGCACAGGGGCTATCTGTAACACCTATGGTACACAAATGTTTGTTAAAAGAGCCATGTCCTGTGATAACACTTGTTACTATCCTGATCTGTGGCTTGTTCAGTCTCATTAGAACCTTGGTTAAGCGACTGTTTAGTTCAGGCAGAGCCTCACAAGCTTGTCTACAGTCTACTAAATTTTTCCAAAGTTGAGTGTATACATTATTGAAGTTTCTACGTACCAGTGAACGAACGTAGCCAAAGGGGATTGGTATTATGTATTGGTTCCGGCCCTATAGTAGCCAGAGCCGAACCCCTTCTGGCCAGTTCATCTACTGCATTGTTGCCTCTAAATCCACTGTGTCCCTTAATCCATTACAGAGTCACATTGTTGTGCTTACATAGCTCATTTTGAATCGTTGATGACATTCATATACAGGATGTTAGTGTAAACACCGTTGTTTACGTTCTATAAGTGAAACCAGTGGCTTGGTTTCACTTATAGAACGTATATTCAATAAATTAAAAAAAACGCTATTTTCTTTCATAAAATTTAAAAAGATTCTGTCCGACACCGTCCGTAAATTCATGGACACCCTATGCGCCTCAGTGAGGTAATAATTCTAATCATCACCGCCCGCGCTAGCTACCTACACAACATTCAACATAAAAATACAATAGGTACACATAACCCGCGATGTAACTTTTCCTTCATACTTTCATCCTGGCTTAGGTCAAGCAAAAATTGAGATTTTATTTAAAAAATGTTGTTATTTTTCATCTAATTTACGTTCTATAAGTGAAACCAAACCACTGGTTTCAAGGACAACGGTGTTTACACTAACATCCCGTATTAGTCTTGAGTTCGACACATTATAACTCCGAGCTTGTAGTACCGTCATACTATCGGTCAGTATTCTGATGGAGAAGTTTTTTACCTTCTTAGCTATCCTAACTATT